TATTAGTATTACACCAACAATTCTAAAAAATGCAATGTTGCCAATTTTTAGTGAGTAGTAGATACTGGACGTGTTGCTCATCATAGTATGAGTCAGTAATTTAGCTCATAGCTGTGTACCTTCAGAATATGAGCATTTTTTATACTTTTATTATTTTATATTCCATTAGATAGTGGTCAAGGTCCAAAGCTTCCCAAACTGACAAAGAATGAATGGGCCTTTATGGTCATCTTCCTGCTGAAGGCCACATCAAAGTGACTAAATTATCTAAGTTAGCTGCTTCCTATTCAACATTAAATATCTAAACATTAGGGGCTAAGTTAGTCATGGTAGTTTTCCTCTAGATTATTTGAGAAACATAAGCACCTCCAGAAGACAATTCATCAGACTTATCTTAGAACAAAATCAATTGTCCTCTGGAACTGAACAACTCTATCTAAAAGTAAAAAGACAATCTAGAGCTTGGGCTAGTTATCTCACTCTAGAGAGTCCTAACCCAAGCAAAGTCCAGTAAATTCTACCCCCCATAATTTAACCACAATTTAGTGTTAAACTACACCTCATTCCACAGGCAGTTGTACCAAAGAAAACTGAAAGACTGAGGGCAAGGTACCATTTAATTACTGTGCAATGGTTCAACGCTGCACTGGGGAGGGTTTAGCCTGAACACCAGGAAGCTTTTCCTGACCAAGACTATGGTCAAGCATTGGAACAGGCTTCCTAGAGAGGTGTCCAAGCTTATCAGAGTTTAAGAGATATTTAGACAATGCTGTTATTTTCATGTTTTAATTTGATCAGCCCTGAATTTGTCAGGTCACCAGATGTGATGGTCATTGTAGGTCCCTTTCAACTGAAATAACCTATTTTTTTCTGTACTTTTTCTCATTAAAAATACCAGTGAATATTTCTCTACATGTTCATAAAATATCAGCCCAGGAACACTCTCCCACTTCCTGGAGCAAGTACACTCTTCTTCAGTCATGTTCCACTTCCAGAACCTCAAGATGAGACCCAGGATACACCACTTTACCTTGTTCTTTTTCTCTAAATTCTGCAGGAAAGACACACAGGTCTATGAGCTGCCCAGGAACCATGGCATGTTCCAAGCTAGTCCCAGGGTGGATGAGAACTGGGACCCCAGGAGGCACTTTATATAAAGCCTGCCTGTATCATAAAGATAGCAGGCAATGTACTCTTTTTAAAAATACAAATAAAGCCTAGCATCTAGACCTGCCCAGGGAAAAACCCTATCCAGAGAGAGACCTCTCATATGGAATATATCCCATAACTAACAAATATTTAATTTGCTCTTTTCAGCTGTTGCCTGACTGCAAAACATTAGTTTTCAGTCTTTGTAAAGGGCCTGTCTGTTTGATATGAAGTCAGAGAATTTTTTAAATGTCATTCTCAGTTTATACGTAATAACAATATATTTTTCAACTGATGGGAAAATTACTTTTTTTTTAACACAGACCCTTTCCCGTATTGCAAGAAGAGAAAGGAAACACAAAAAGAACTTCTGGAACTAGAATAATTCTGTTAGAAAGATGCTGTAGAAGAAAGTACTTCAAATGTAAAAAAAAAAAAAAAAAAAAAGGATTTTTCACTTTTTTGAAACTTTTCTCATCATTTAAAGAGGGCAATGTGACAAAATTATTGTGTTTATGTATCAAAAAATTGAGACTAACCATGTGGGGGAAAAAATGCAATTGTTTCCTTTCACAACATTTTCTCAGCCTGGAGGATAATGCCCAAGCGTGCTTGGTAAAATCACAGCTCTGCTCATAATCCTCACATAATTCTTCTAATGTATTCATGAACATCCTCTTTTGTTGTGGTATTATGACTGGGAACACAAGCCCATATTTCTTTATATGAAGTAAAAAAGTTTACTGATTTACCTATGTTGTCAGTGGCTTTTTCTCCCTTCCTCTCCTGCAGGCTACATAGACCCAAAATAGTCAGTAGTCATTCATACACATTTTTTCACTATATTCAGTTCCTTTCTATGGTTAATTCTTAATATCAGCCTTTTCCCATTAATATGCAAACAAATTAGGAAAATAATACCTGAGTTTGTATTCTAAAAGTAAATAATTTCCACATTATATTTCTTAACATTTGAATTCTGAGTACTTTTAATTCATTATTCATGTATGACCTTATTAGATCCATGTAACTGAACAAAATACAAAACCTCAGGTAGACCACATTTTTAAAAATCAATTAGTTTTGTGCCATTTTTTATCTGGCCTTTTTTGCTTAGTGACTAATACCATAACTATTAGGAAGTCAGTATCATAATTTTTTACAATAGTGAGATTAAATATGCAAACAGAGGTGGACAAGCAAAATACCTCCTTCCTCCACTGTTTTTATTTCTAACATAGAGGTTAACTATGAACAGCTCAAGATGTGGAAATGTATGTGCTACTTTTCAGTTTGGTATCCTGCAGAAGATAGTACTCCAGAAAGTAATTGGGTTAGGATTTTGGCACATGAAGAAGGCAAATTTACAGAAAATGTTTGGAGGTAAAGAGAAACTTTTTTCCAGCCTTTCAGGAAAGCCTTGAGAAGGTTTTTCCTTGATTTACTTAAATCACCCAAACTGTTTCATTCCCTTTGTTTCTTTATGCTTTTACACTATGCATGATAATCACATATGGGTTATTTCATTTGACAGTCAGAAACTTATTAATAACTTCTTAATTCTCTCTCTATACAGTTATTTTTTATTTTTCTCAAAAGAAAAGGGGGGGAATTTTGGGGAAAAAAAAAACAATTTTTTTTCCTTTAATTTATATAGATGTTGGAGAGCAGAAAGAGGAGCTACAAAATATGGTATTGACTATATATTAGGGAAAAGTACTTGCCTTTTGATAATAAGCTACTCTGTTAACACAAAGAACCACACATATTTCTAGTAGCAATATATATTTTACTGGCCACCAGAATGACGTCTCTTAAAATCACAGTTTGTTGATTCTGAAAGAGAGACCTTCATTCACCTGTCATTGACCTGGTTTCAATGACTTAGGTCAGCTTGCAGTCAGAAATTTGAATTGAAGTTTGCTATTGTCTCAGAATAGCCTTGTAGCTCTGTGGGAAATGAAAAGGAAAGGAGGAAAACAGCATCTGGACAAGCTGGAAGGCAGAACAAATAGTGGGGATTTAAGGTGACTAGTAACACCCTTTCAGTGGTGTTAGGTTTTTAGCAGGTTATGGTGGCCATTGTACTGAATCAGTGTTTATGAGAGCAGATATAGAAAAGGACTGGCTTTTCCCAAGCATCATTATGGAAGAGGTATGAAATGAATCCTGAGGATTGCCCCCACCATGGAGAACAAGAAAATTCCAGCTGCTGCAAAGAGACAAACCTAAAAGTCTAACAACAACAAAGGCATAAGCTCCTGAGGACAGGAGCCTTGGGCTTCTTTAGATCCCTAGCACTGGAAAAAAATTCATCACTTCAACCAATGCAGAAAAACCTATATTCTGACAAACTTTGAAGAAGAAATCTCATCAAAGCAATCATAATTGATTTTCCCCCTTTTGTGACCTCTTTTTTTCCTGCAGAAATATAATCCAGGTCCACATTTTTACTTACCATTTGCTAAACCCTCTCAATACGTATAAAATGGAAAGTATTCTGTAACACTGGTAGTGTCACGTAGTAGTAACCAGGAAAAATTTCAAAACACACACATTTCTATTTCTATTAAAAATCTAACTGGTTCCTTATTATTATATTCTATATGCACCTACTTTTACATGCATATAATCAGATTTGTATTGGCATGAACAGATTTAAGTGAGGGTAGCATTCCAGCAAGGTCATCTTTAGAAGAAACACATCCAGAAGTGGATTCAGGAAGGCAACTGTTAAACATTTAGGAAGCATCCTTCCTTCAAAGAATGTCAAAATGTTTGGTGCCTTATAAGTTCAGAAACTGAGATACATAGAGCTCTCTGTGGAACAGAAAATGTATAATTCAGTCAGTGCATGCTGTGCTTCATCACAACCAAAATGTACCAGAAATTTAGTATCTATGTAAGGAATATTTCAATAAAATTACATAGATATTCAAACACCTGTTTAGAGTAAACACCAATCTAACATATTATGGCCTGACATTACTAACTATTAAATACATGAAAGAAAAATCAGTCATGAGTACGTGTGCTGGGGTGCAGGGGGGAAGGTGTTTATACTTAAACACAAGCGTCTGTGTCTCCAGAGTACATTTTCATTTTTTGCCTGTTAATGAAGAATTGTGTTGACTCTGACAAGATACAATGCCGTAATTTTAGGAAGTTTGAGTATTTAATGCTTATCTGAAGAATTTATTTTTCTTGTGTTTCTGTTAGCCACTAAAATGCAAAGTTGACAGCATCTTTACTATGTTGTCAGGCATTGTATATGACCTTTAAATATATTTCTGTTAACATAAATTTGAACCAATATTATGAAAAGTGTCAACTGGGGGAAAGGAATTCCCTGAAACTCTGTCAAAATTTTTTAGCAAATCACAGTTGTACAAGATAGAAAGGACCAGATGATATGTAATAACACATCAACTGCTTACCGTGCTCAGCAGTTTCTACATAGAAACGTGGTAATTCCATGTAACTGAAAAAAAATGCTGGTTTGCTATCCTTTGAATGAAGAAGTTAGCAAAGGGCAGAGAAATAGTGCAACTGATTTCAGAGAGAAATACATATTAGATTATAATTTATTTGATCATGATTGTTAGTTGAAGGGAACAACTCTACTATCCCCAGTGCTTACCTGAGAAGGGCTGGCACACAGCTTACTATGTTCAAACAATTGAAAAGTATGCTGAGAAAAGTGTGAGGGACCAGCAAGTCCAATCCCAGTATAACTCTCTTCCCATGCTTCTTTAGTCTTCTCATCTTAGGTCTTCTTTGTGCACCCAATTTCTTGTGCACCTTTCTTTTTTTTACTTGTTGGTAACATGTCAGGTTGGTATCATACCTACCCTAGTTGTTTTCACTTTATTCCCAGAGGAACAGCTCCATCCCTTACGATCTGGAAGAACTTTACATTCCTCCCCTTCAAGACATGGTTGCATGTGGCACCACCATTTCTGCTCCACTATTGAAGCTACAAGAGAAGAAAATAAATGTATTTCTACTTAGTTGAAATGGACACTTTAAGATGTCATTACACTGCAACATTTCTTTTATTTTCCAGGAAAATATGAGAAACATGTTGACTGACAGCTAGTCTGTGATTTTCAGCCACCTCAGAACCTTCAGAAGAAATTAGGTTTCCAATTTGTAAAAAGTGCTATGTGCTTCAAAGTCAATCTCTTCACAGCATTTCATCTCAACTTCATTTTTATCTTGCTTAGCCAGATTTCAAAGTTTTAAGTAGAATCTCTTCTTTTGCTTGGTCTATAGCCTAGCATAGCTTGATTAAATTTATTCCCCAATGATGACATATTTACAGCTTCTCTGACAGCCAACAACATATCAGCATTAAAGAGATCATGTAAAGGGTGAATCCTGCCACTCTTTCAGAGAAAGAGATTTGAAAAATCAGCTAGTATTTTCCCAAATAAAACATATGAGTCTATACCAGAATTGCTAAGTAAGACACTAATATTGCACGGTGAATAGGAATAATAGTGTAGGTCTAAAAAGATTTAAAAACAGACAGAACTGTGTTCTGTTTGTTTGCTTGTTTCTTTACAGTGAGATTATATATAAATAAGATGTGAGACTGTAGCACATGAAAATTATATGCTTATGTAGGTTTTGCATAAATGCTTTTAATTAAGTGAATTTCATACAACTCCAAGAGTCCTCTTTTTAGTTAGATCAAATTTAGCCTCTCAAGATGCCTCTTTTGCTGACATCTAATAATTTTGTTTAGCATTTCCACAGAGTAATAGCAAACAATTAATTTTTCCATCTTTCTCCCATTCACCTTGGACACACCCTTCAAAATGCAGAAGCTTTCCTACTTTTATTTTAAATAGTTTACTGTAATGGAGTGGGTACCATTAATATCTTAAGCCAGCAAAAACTCCCAGGAACACAAAGAAAAGAAGCAATAGAAGGAGTCGCACCATCAACACAAGAAGGAGCTGCCCGGGTGGTACCTGCTACCTGCCCAGGGAAGCAGGAACACTTCACTGTCTGTGATCTTTCTTCTATCTTATTCTTATTGCAGCATCTGTGAAGCGCCACCACTTCACAGGTCCCAGTTTTAACATGGTGAGCTGTGAAAATAAAAATATATACAATTTAGTATCTTTGAGAAGCAACATCATATTGTTTCATTTGGACTTTTTTTTATTGAAATGCATTAAACTTGGCTCTGTAAGACAATCTGCCATACATGAAGCAAGAGGTGCAATGGTATTAACACTAGAATGGAGAGTTGATCTCTTTTCCAAAGGTAGTATCTCAGGCAAGAAACACTGGCTAAAGAGCAGTTGGACAAGGCTGTATATCATCATCTACTAATGAAGCAGTGTAGAAAAACTGCCTAACCCCCAACAGATGGCAAAAATAGAATACATGCTTATTTTACAAGCCAGGACAAGCAGGAAGCAGAAACATAAAACTAACCTAGAAACTACACTAATTTCTGGACTTCCATAAACAGCTGTGTACCTCTACCAATATTTTTTTTTCTTTTTCCCTATGGCAGAAACTTTGAAATGAATGCATAGCAATGCTAAAATACCCATACATGCATATGTTTTCACAATCCATGTCTCCAGACTTTATGCTCAGAAGAGAGTTTGACGTGGTATTCCAAAACCTTCTGACAAGCAAACAGAGAACAACTGGAAGGATACAGGGAAAACACTCAAATGAAATCCAGAAATAAAATTGACTAAGGAATCACACTTTAAATTTTTCTGCCTGGCACTGCAAAGGTAATTTGGGAACAAGGGGACCCAAATTTTTCAAACAAGGGGGACAACAGGACAATCCTCAGTATTCCATATCTGTACCTATCACTTCCATTCATGCTTCTCTAATTGATTACCAGAATCATATGCTAGAGTCCAATGAGAGGAACAATTTGATAAGAAGAGAGCCACCAAAATACACTTTCTGGTTCAGCAGCCAGTTACTAAAGAACCTGGAGTTTGGAAAAAGTTTTAACTGAACTTTCAGCAGTTGCTTATACAAGGCCAGATATTCCTGGGGGTAGCTCATTACCATTAGAAGAAAGAGAGAAAAAAATCCGAACTTTAGCTGATATTGACCTACAACCTGTATGGGCAGGAATACTAATTATGTGAAGCAATATGTGTCCCTTAATTCTGATATTTATTTTTTTTATGTGCTTTATGCAAAGGCTGTGTACTGAATGCAACAGCTATCTTTAATATTACAAGGAAAAACCCCTAGAACAGGAGCCCAACACTGATGTCTGGATTCACCCGTTGTTATTTCACAGTGTCACCTCCTAAAAGGCCTGAGGAGGGAACAAAACTTGATGTAGGCTACAGACCCCATGAATTTCCTAGAGGCAAAACCCACAGATTGCAATTAGACTCTGGGTCTTCATCAACAAAACAAACTGCTAAACATTTCTTTGGGGAATTATGCATTTTTCAGTGTAACAAATTCCAGTGAACAGTCTGTGGTCTTTGTCATCACTCAATGTATTGTACTATGTCAGGTTTGATTATACTCAACCACATCATGCTGTGCCACAGCTGAAATTATATAACACAATGCAAGCAACTAACCCATGATACATCATATTTTGATATGCTGAAATGTTACATTTAAATCAAAAATCTACGAGGAAAAAAATGTCTTTATACACAAACACTGATTTTCTTCACTTTGTAATTTTTAATTCAATAGAGGATGAGGAAAGTAATTCATACTCTCTGCCTGAACTTTGCAGTCTCTGTTATTTTACACTTTTAATGACATTTAGTAAATATTTTTACAGCTACTAGCACAGGCTGCCCCAAAAATGACTTTTAATTCTTTTCCAAACAATTCCACTAGTATACATGCCAATAAAGCAATTTAAACAAATACATTCAATTTTTTCTCAATGAAACACTTGTAAAGTTCTTTATTTGTGAATAGGAAAAAAATTATCCTAGGATATATTGGGTACGTATAATATATAGTAGAACAAACATATCCTGCTTTTGCAAGTTCACATTAACTTTAATTTTGATAGGAATTACATATCTTATATTTACTCATTCTAACACAAATTCACTAAATTTCATTTTATGAAAGGTACATTAAAAACCCTAGACACTGAATCTACAAAAGAAAGCTAATTTAGTAGTAGGATAAAAATTTTAAACCACTTACTTTTTCACTATATTAATTTTAATTTGTATTCTCCATATTACTGATCCTGAAATTTTCTGTCCTCACTCTCTTATTGTATAACTTTATACTGCTTTACTGTGTCTAAACAAATGCCGTAATACAACTACTAAGGGAAAACTAAGTACAATGTACAAAAAGTAGCCATCAGGAATGGAAGCCATTTAAAAGAGCTATTGTAAAATTCTGTGAGGGAAATTTTCACACTGAAACAAAAATTTTGAATGCCTCCTTTGCAGTAATTAGGAGGAGAAAATCAGGTATTGTAAGACTTATGGGAAAAAAAGTGCAACAAAATGAAACAGTCATATTCACGTACAATACAGAAAAGCATTTCAAAGGATGAAAATGCATATGAAAAATGGAAGAGAACAAAAAATAACCACATACTATCAATAGCATTTGGGGAATCTTTAATAAAGATGCTTTGAAATTTTATGGGTATAAAGCAAAAACACCTTAGAAAAATATACAAAAATATTTCAAACATTGAGAAATATGGGCTAACCATCATCTAGTTTCTATTTGCTATCTAGAAAATGCCATGAAAATTCCTTGAGAGGAAAAGTCGGGATTTCAGGTCTTTACGCTATCAAATAATTAAGTCCCAGTGCAGCAAGTACAGGATCTGTCACATTCACGTAAAATTAAACTTTCTATAGAGTAGATAAAGAATTCCACACAACCTAAAACAAATTAACCTCACTAAGCCACTGGATCATTCCACAAAAGGGGGATAATACTTTGGGGGAGTCACATTTTGGTTTTGTTTCTTTTCATCCTAGCACAGATTTCAAAGTAGGCTGCTTGCTTTGCAGAAATTGCCTGAAGAACCAAATGTCATTTCTGTAATCCCACAGAAATTAGTTATTCAAAACCACTGCAAACAGTATTTCATTTGCTGCTAATGAAAGCAGTCCTTCCTGCTATCAGTGAGGAGAGGGATTGAAGAAAGAGACTCAGAGACCTCTATGTGTACATGTTTAAAAGTTTTCCTGATGATTGTCCATAACATAATATACATATAGATTATGTTCCAGAAGATCTAACGCTGTATCATGAGAGTGGAGCTTGGAAAACAGGAATTACCCTATCTCGCCCATTAACGGCATATCCTGTAATCAACCTGCCACTTTTACAGATTTTTTTTCATGTAGCAAAATCATCAATCCCTATCTCATAAATCAGAACCAGAAACTTCAGTGATCAGTATCATAGTCCTGAAAAAAAAATAAAACTAAACAATTACTAGTCTTCATTTTAGATAAACTTTTCTTGTTCCTTCATGGTAGTGCTATATTTCATTCACCTTCAGGTGAATAAAATTTCAGTCACATTGGCACAGTGCATCTAAGGGTCTATTACTCTTACTCCTCTGCTTCTGTGGAAAGATTACTCCAGAGAAGAATGGAAGTTACTACTCAAGATTGTTATTTTGTAATTCAACTCAAAAATATGAATATAAGGTATTTAGTGTAGGAACGCAAACCTTGCATTAAATCAAGAAAATCTGAACAGCATCATTCATTATGATCACCTTTCCTAGCCTCAACGCTTAAACATTGATGTCCAATTCTGTCACCCATCTGCTTAGTCATTTGAATCTTTTCTTTCCTGAAAGTAGCATAGATCATGTTTCAACACATACACTGGCCATTAACAAAGAGGAAAAAATCATGTTGCCAAGAACTAAAAAACTCAAGTCACAGCATTATTATGTTTCCATCTTCAGGATCCCCATCATTGCAGTAGGCACATATAAATAGCAGGGGAAATAATCAAAAAGGCTCTATTATATGCTCTCTGCAAAGACACCAGCACAGCTGGGTGATACAGTTAAATCCATCTAATGACTAAGAGCAACTGGAAGCAAAAGAAGATCCCTTATCTCTTTTCCAGCATTTTTTTCATCCCCTGCTTGCATGAACACTGTCATTTGATAGTGAAGATGGTAAGCCAGGGATTTGGACTGGAAGAAAAATTTCCCTTCTTTTAGGGTTAGTTCTCTACCAATTTAGCTCCTGCAGCTAGGTGCAGAGACCAGTGAGAAGCATTTTTCAGCCAAAGGGAAGAGAAAGAAGATGGCAACCACAGATACCTGATTAGCTCCTGCAGAAACCAGTTCCTATATCAGCTTGCAAGAACTGCAGCTCTGTAATCTGAAATAAATGTATCTTATTTTATTCTATTTCAGGTAATTTTTCTCAGGTCACAGAGACTATTTAAAATCAGCAAAGCTTTGTTTGTTTGAGTCTATGCTATATGTGAGGAAAAAGCATCAACAATAAATAAAAAAATGGAAATTACACATAGCCATGAGTCTCAATACACATTGCATCTAATATTGTATATTCTTTAGAGTTTTTGTCATCTTGGGTATGATCAGGAAGATTTCCCATATGAAGTACTCCAGTAACCCAGTCTTTCAAAGTAGGCAATATGCTTTCAAAGTAGGTACATGTGCATTTTTTATTTATGTAAAGCATATCTAAATTAATGATTATGATGGAATTACTCTTTTAAATTATCATTTCTAACAAAAAATAGACAGTAATTCAGGATATTATCAACTTGCTTAATCCATTTTCCTAAGTGATTAGTCACTATTCTATACCACAATAATCAAACAAATGTGTGATTGGATGCTATTGTTAAAATTAATAAAATTAGTGGTTATAAGATTTTTCCAGAATGGGCTTTAGATCACTGCCCTACCTTTAAATGACCAGGTGAAAAAAAAAGAAGGTTTTCTTGTTCACATAGTTTATTTGCTTTGTTCCTACTGATTGACAAGGAAAAAAAATGTAGGTTATTTTTCTGCTACACTTCAGCAATTTCAGTATGTCATATCAGTCTTAATGTGTCACTGTAGAGAGGAAGGATACAAATGAACTTGCAA